TCGGTAGCCGTCACGTAGTGACTGTACGTGACAGTACGCTCAACAGTTGGTTCTTGTTGAATGATGTCTGGCACTCCAAGTTCACTCCCCGAGCTGGATTTAGGGTTTCTGACCCCAAATCCGTCAAACCTCAACTTCACCAAGACGCCTATGCCACACCTGGCTTCTGTTGATTGAGGCAGGCTAAATAACTTGCGGCATCAGCCATAATTAGTTGAAATCACAGTGAAATCGGAATCGGGTACAGGCCTCCAGGTGAAATCAGGCTTCAACCCGAAATTCCCACAAATCCCAAGCCCCCGGCCTTCCACAGAACACGCCCTAAAGGACCCTAAACCTTACACCATCAAGCTCTAAGCGCCCTTAGCCCTACATCCCACGCACCCAAGCCCGGCACCTGCACCCCTAAGCCCCAAATCCCACACCCTGGAACCTTAATAATCCTATACTATGGGTTTAGGGTTGAGGGTCTAGGGGTTTAGGGTTTAGGGTATAAGCCTCACTTAGCGGACGCTTACGCTTCCCAGACAGATCCCTGCCGCCTAGGCAAGCTTCAAGGAGGTTTTCCTCTACGATTTAGGCGGGCTCGGGTTCAGCCCTAAACCCTAAACCCTAATTAGGGTTGAGGGTTTAAGGTTCAGAGTGGTTTTTAATTAAGGAATCCGGCACAACGTGAGGAGGGTCCAGGGTTTAGGGTATAGGGTTTAGGGCCACCGAAATCTTGCATTTATGGTACTGTATGAAGGCCTTTGTAGTATGCCCGAAGAGTGAGGACAAGGCTTCTGTTGAGGGAACTGGGGGGATCCCACTCTTTGGGGGTTTCGGGATTTGGGGTTACAGGGGTTTCGGGATTTGGGGTTTAGGGTTTAGAGCTTAGGGTTTGGGGATTTGGGGTAGGGTTTAGAGGTTAGGGTTGGGGGTTTAGGGTTGGGGGTTTAGGGTTTAAGGTTTAGGGTTTGGGGTTTAGGGTTTAGAGTCTGGCTGGCAGGTGTGCTGCTCTATGCGGTGATCCTTTGTGCATCTCTTGCGGAAAGCTCAGTGGGGCCAGGGTTTATGGCTGGGCAACATCCCACATGCAAATTTCTGTAAACCCTACACCATAAACCATAATAAACCCCTAGCCCCTAAACCATAAACCCCTAAACCCTATAAGCCCTAAACCATAAACCCCTAAACCCTAAACGCTAAACCCTATGCCATAAAGCCCTAAACCCTAAACCTAACCCCAAAACAATAAACCCCGAAACCCTAAACCCCAAACGCTAAGCCTAAACCCTAAACCCCTAAACCCTAAACCATAAACCCCTAAACCCTAAACCATAAGCCCCTAAACCATAAACCCCTAAACCCTAAACCTAAACCCTAAACCGCGAACCCCAAAGCCCCAAACCCCAAATCCCGAGCTTGTCATGTCCTTCATCCCATGACATCCCAAAGCTCTTCTTCCCTACGGTTTAGGGTTTAGGGTT